CACTCTCTCTCTCAAAAACTAAATAATAAAAAAATAAAGTCTCCCAGAATGTCATTTTTACTTGAAAAGATGCTTTGTTTAAAATAAAATAAAACAAAATATAAGTTTTTCTTATAGCTAAAAGCCAGTAAAATATTTTTAGAAACTTCTCCAGCAGTTCCTGTGAATATTTTCCTAACTTGTCTCCCTTACCCAGATTTACTTTGAGCCTGTAGATTGGAGAATTGAACCATAAATAACAGACAGTTGAGGAATAATGTTTATCTCCCTTGTTTTGTCCTCTCTCGGTGTTCATTCTCAGAAATCCCTCTAAGTGAAGTGTCATTCTTCCTCAAAAGTGATCTTTAAATTCAAACAATCTCTACAAACATGTGATCTGAAAACCATAACTTCAAATGGGTACTGTCCTATCATAGAAACAGGAAAGCAGAAGCAGAAAAGTCTGGGCTTTTAGTTTCTTCAGGAAGAAGAAGATGTGTTTTATCATTAATTTACCTTACAAAATCTGTATCAGATGTAGTTATGTTTCAGCAGTATGTAAGAAGTTCAAAGATATGTAAGAAATTCACAATGGGGCCATAGACGATAACAACAATAATAAATTTCAGGAATGGAAAACCACCCCTAAGAATTAGTGGTGAACTGATAACCAACCAAGCAAACACACCCAAATAGTCCATATTAATGATCAATAATGAGACCAACCCCATGATTTCCATTGACCCTAGGTTAATTTAATTAAGAGAAAGTGAAAACTGTATCAGTTATGTAACCAATAAATGCCTCCTATATATGTTAGAGCAAAAATTAGGCCAAGTGAAAACTTGAATGGTGTGAAATATGTTACCATCAGCGTATCATACCTTAAGTGCAAACCTTAAAGAAAAAAAAAACAATTATAATAGAAAATAAAGGAAAAATGGAACTCACTGGAACCAAAGAGGTGTTTTCTATAGGAAACCTAGAATCATCTTAAACACACAAAGGGTCATTTTTCTGACAGTGCTTCTGGCTAATCAGCATGTTGTCATAGTTGGGCTGGGGAAAGATCACATGACTCTCCCAGGAGTCAGTCATGAGTGAGGTTTCCTCGGAAGAAGACTGCAGAAAAACCAACACCCCATAATGCCCACAGAGTGAGAAGTAGGCACACCAGCTAATCCAACCCCCACAGCCTGGAGTAGATGTGAGGTGTGCCAGCGCCATAACATGAGCACCAGCAACACAATGACAAAGGTGAGGAAGACACAGAAGACTGTAGTTACTGCTACCACTAAGTCTAAGGTGAGGTCTGAGGTCTCTGGGTATGTGGGGACCTCCAGACTGTTGAGGTCAGCCAGCACATCTGGAATGCTGTCAGCCAAGGCCATGGTGAGTGTGACAGTGGACAAGAGAGATGGCTGGCTGTGGTCCTGGACCACCACCATCACCAGGCTCTGCTGCAGCATGTCTGTGTCCAGCAGGGCCTGAACTGAGAAGGGCCCAGGCTCACTGGCCTTGAGCAGGTGGTAGGACAGCCAGGTATTCTGACCTGAGAGTCTATAGCCACCGGCTTGGTTACCAAGTAGCCAGGCTCTGTGGAGTGCACACCAATGGAAACATCAGTGGGGGAGAGTGGGGTACAGGATTTCTGATGTACTGTCCTTCTGGTCCAGCCCAAACAAGTTCAGCGACATGTTGTTGCTGCATGATTAGTTCCCACTGCCACTAGCCCTCACCTGTGAAGATCATGAAACTGCTCAAAGTTGAAGGAGCACAGCATGTATATCACGCCAGTGTCAAAGTTGATGGGAGACATAGGAAAGAGGCAACCCTTGGACAGTGTCCTCAACCAAGGTGTAAACAACACCTGGGTGTTCTAGTCGCTGTTGGGTCATGGACCAACACCAAGAAGATGGAGATGCCTCTGCGGTTGTTCTCAGGGAGGTAGACTAAGTAGGACTTTTCCAGAGAAGCTGGGTTATCATTGATGTCTCCGGTGTAGGTTGATGTAAATTTCTGTGGGGGGGGGCATTCCTCTGTTGTTGTCACTGTAATTTTATATTCAGAGGTTTTTTTTTCCTCTGTCAAGAATTTGGACTGTCAACAACTCTAATTATTACCTACTGATTTTTCTAATTGGAAAGGTAAATTATGAGGTGTGTTACAGAAAACTTGACCATTCTTCCCGGAGTCTCGGTCATGCACATTCAAGAAGGCAACTACTGTTCCAGGAAGAGTATTTTCCAAGACTGGGCTAAACAGAGAGGTAATGATCACTTCCGGTCTATTGTCATTCACATCTTCCACTGAAATGAGCACTTTGGTCCTCCCCAAAAGTGCCCCCACATCTTCAGCTTGTATTTCCATTTCATAAAATGCACATTCTTCATAGTCTAGACCCTCTGCTGTCGATATTTCCCCAGTATTTTCATTAAGCTGGAATAATGGGGATTGTTTTTCACTAATTTTCCAGAATCTATAGGCTACCTCTCCGTTGGCTCCCTCATCCGGGTCGCTAGCGCTCACAGTAAGCAGCCAGGTGCCTGGAGGCATGTTCTCTGGGATTTGCACTCGGTAAATCGGTAGAGCAAAAACCGGGGCATTGTCGTTTGTATCCAGCACTGTCACGTGGATGTGCACTGTGCTGGAGTGACGCGGATCACCGCCGTCTGAGGCAATGAGGACCAGGTGGTGAGCAGCCTCTTCCTCGCAGTCCAGGGCCTGCTCCAGCACCAGCTCTGGGTGTAGAGTTCCGTCGTCTCCAGTTTGCACTTCCAGAGAGAAGTGGTGATTGGGGCTGAGCTGGTAGCTCTGCAGGGAATTCATGCCCAGGCTGGGGTCAACAGTCTCTGGGAGCAGATAATGTGTTCCAGGAGCAGCGATTTCATTAATTTTAAATTCCGGATTCTCAGTGTGGAATTCTGGAGCACTGTCGTTTATATCAGTTACTTCTACTTCCATTCAACAGGACTTCAAATTTAAACAGACACTGTGTGCTCTGAGCACAGAGTTCCTCTAAGTCTATCCTGTCCTTGGTGACCAAACTACCACTTAGCGGATTTAGAGCAAAAAGCTGCGTCTTACCTCTGGAGACGATGTGGCCTCCGCCCTCTGCCAGCTCCCTGGGCTCCAGCCACAGGTCCTTGGAGATAGATATTCTACCACATACAGTCCTTTTCTGTCTCTTCAGGCACCAAATAGTGAACAGTGTATCTGGCTGGCTCCAGGCTCGCACAGCCTGCCCAGGAAAAGGCACAGCAGAACCAGTCCTTCGCAGTGCGAGGTTCCATGGAATGGCTATCGTTGCTTTGCTGTGGATACTTATTTTTTATCCAGGATGCTTTCTATGCAAATTGACTCCTTAGGTTCTTTTTTTCCTCCAGCAAATTATGATGATCTTTTTCCTTAGGAGAAACCGAGGTGCCCCAGGTTAAGAGGATGAGTTTTGTTGCAGCTTTTGCTGCAGTTTGTGGGATCTGTGAGGCTTTGTGTAGTTGCAGATCCTCATGTTGGGATGGGATAGAGAGCTGACGGAGCTTTTCTTAGAGCTGGCGAACAGCGCCCTTAGAGTCCTAATCTGTCACTACACCCACTGAGATAATACTTGATTACAGATGGTTAAAAAAGAAAACACTCTTTGAACCATGACTTATGAAGACTTGTCTCACTGCTTCTTGCATTCTCATTTCAAAAGCAATAACCATTGCTGGATATGTTAGTTGAAAATGAAGTGGAATGAAATTTCTATTAAGCGTACTGTTAAATTGACATTTAAAAATTTTTTTCTTTTTCTTTTTAAGATTTTATTTGACAGACAGAGATCACAAGTAGGCAGAGGGGCAGGCAAAGAGAGAAAGGGAGAAGCAGGCTCCCCGCCGAGCAGAGAGCCCAATGCAGGGCTCGATCCCAGGACCCTGGGATCATGACCCAAGCTGAAGGCAGAGGCTTTAAACCCACTGAGCCACCCAGGCACCCCCTTTTTCTTTTTTTTAAATAGGCTCCACACCCAGCACAGAGCTCAATGTGGGGCTTGAACTTACCACGCTGAGATCAAGAAATGAGCTAAGATCAAGAGTCATATGCTTAACTGACTGAGCCACCCCCATGTCCCTCACCATTTTTTCTTAATAAAATTAACTTATTCTTGGTAAAATTTTGCTCTCCATTTACATATGTAAATTATTCTAGTTCCCTTTTTATAATGTTTCAAAACTTTTCTATATTATTTTCTGATGTAACTACAATGTATAATCCTCTTTGGAAATACATTCATATTTTTCTTAGTTTTATACATTATATATGTATTACATAATTACATTGAGTGAATATATGGGTTATTCACTTTGAAATTATTTTATAAGGTTAATTTATGCAGATAGTAAATTTGCTGGAGTAAGATGTCCTTAAAATTTCATTCACAAAAATAATTTTAATTAGGCAACAGTAATAGATTTTCTCACCTAATATTGCTAATTTTGAAAGGATTGGTTTCCTAAAGTTGCATATTTGTGAATGTTACACTTTAACGTTATTTCAATTCTTTAACATTTTCTATNTGACTATATAATGCATACACTGATTATGGCATTTGGAATATTGAAATAAACACACAATGAAAAGGAAGTTTCCATTTCAATCCTTCCATAAAGAAATTATGCAGTTTTAAAGTAGTCAAACTTCATATTGTAAAGGTCACTTAAACATCTGTGATAATTACAGAAAAAGAATACAAAATGTAGAACAAATTATTATCATTAAAAAACAAAAAGTACATTACAATAAATTCTTTCAGGGGAACCTGGCTGACTCCATCAGGTGAGCATGTGACTCTAGATCTCAGGGTGATGAGTTCAAGCCCCACAATGGACAAACTTATGTTAAAAAAAATTCTTTCAGCAATTTGAAAAGATACCATTTACTGAAGCAGTTACCAAGGAAGACCAAGCAAAAGGCTGATTCTTAAGAAATGGCAACCTTTTGAGCATAAAATTAGTAATTTTTGCCATAAAATAAAAAATTCAGGATTCTCCTTTCCTCCTATAGATATAAGGATGATCAGAAAACCTCTAATCACTAATGTTTAGAGTTCCAAACAATAAGAAAATCCAGTGACTTTCCCCTCTTTATTCAAAAAATATAGGTAAGGAATGACAACAAGTGATAGAAACAATAGCATTTCTTTTTCTTGTCTCAAGTGTCTTCTATTAACTATGGGAGGAAGAGAAGGATTTTGCATTCAAAAAAATTTGAAGGAAATTATATAATGATTGTTCTGATGAATTCAATGAGTCTCTCTCCCCCATCCTCCCCTCCACACTGTTTTTCTTACAATTTTCAAGTATTCAAATAGTCATGACTAAGTACATACAAGGAACTAGACATGAGGAATAAACATTTAAAAGGATGGAAACTCTACTAGTGAAATCAGTGAAGAAAGAAGGCTAGTAGCAGTTTCTTTGTTTTAAAGGATGACAAACGATTGCCTACGTTAAATTTAATGTTTACTTACATGTAAAAAAACTCAAAATAAAAGAGGCAAACTGGGTAAATTTCATTAACTATGAAAAAAGATATAAGAAACGGATATAATACTTTTTATGTGAAGCAAGGAGGAAACTCACTACTTCATAAACCTGAACGTGGTGTGATAATGCTATTATATGTGACATAACTACTCCCGGCTCACCACTCTACTTAAAAAATGGAAGTATAGCTTTCTGATGGGCTATGATGTCCTTATGACAACTTATTACTCTTAGAAATGTAATATATTTTCATATAAATACGAAAAATTGGATAGATGAGGAAAAGGAGTAGATACTTAAATAGAACTCACCGGCTTTAGAGTTTCAGGATGGAAAGTCGACTCACTGGAATTACAAAGTGGAAATAAGGCCCCGGATGAATCACCGCAAAGTAGTATATCCTGTCCTGAACTCAACTGCTCATTGCACTTTAGAAAATTAAACTCTGT